CACACACACACACACACACACCAACACACCAGCAAGTTGGTTTACGGGGCGGCCCCAAGGGCTGGAGGGAAGGGAGACCAATTCTTGCAAAGATAGGATTTCCAGGATCCGGATGACACAAATCCCAAAAGCAGGGTTTGGGATGCAAAAAATAAAATAAAATTGAAATTTGAAAAATGATGGGAACTGTTGACACGGAGAGATCGGTTCAGAAGAAACAATCAATACTCATGTGTTGTCCGTTCTGATTTACCGGTGACCCTTTCCAGGGTTTTCCAGGTAGAGGGTGCTCAGAAGTGGTTTCCCCTTCCCTTCCTCCTGGGGATGTCCTGGGATGGTGTAGATTTCCAAAAGGAAATGGTAAACCGCTTCTGAGCCCTCTCCACCCAAGGAAACTGTAAGGGGTCACCATAAGTCAGAGTTGACTTGACAGCATGTGGTTATTACTGTATTTATTCTGTCCTCTCCAACCATCTTGATCTTCTTTGCAAACTGACAAACCCCTGTAACGTTCTTTTCTCTCCTTTTCTCTCTCTCCCTCCTCGTCCGTGGCTTGTGCGCCTGTCCAGACTCTTTTGCAGGTGAGTACCAGCTTGGGTGTTTCCTGATTGTTTGTACCCACCAGGGCTTATGGAACTGCAGGCTAGGCTATTAGTGCTTTGCTCCCCTGCTGTCTTGCTCACGGCATAGTCTTTGGTGGCTCTCCTCGAGGAGAAACAGACCAGGCTGACGTGAGGGTTTTTTTCCCCCCCACTGAGGTCTCCTGTCAGATCCCAAATTAGGTTAGTTGTTCTCTGAACTGACGTGCTGATTGGCAAGGCTGTCTTTGAGCATGTGTAGAGCGCTTTCCCCGTAAACGATCTCCCCCTGACATCCAGACCTACGCACCCTTTGGTGAGTTTGTTTTGCTTCCGTAACCAAAGCCTGTCACCGTTTTCAACTGGATTTGGACCTCAGTGCTTCCCGTGGATGGATGGATCGGCTTCGTGGCCGTCTTTTGGTCCGAACGTCTCGTGACCGGCAAGGAGTTGCCTTCAAGATGTGCCTTCTTCTGACACAAAGCATAATATTATATTTCCAACAGTGCTCCAACCCCTTTGTCTCAGAGCTGAAGAGATCCATGGATTGTGTGTGGGAATTTGCACATCGTGATTGTGATGGAATTTCTTTTCCCCCTGTATTTGGAGATCAAGAGTTGGACGGTTGGGGGTGGAGATCTGAGAAACCCCCAAATCTGGATTATATGATCTGCTCAGTGGGCTCGCCCAAGCACGCCTCCCTCTCGCCCTCTCTCTCTCTTTTCTCGAGAGGCCCGTTGTACCTTATTCCCTGATGGCCATCGTTCCAAAACGCCTTTGTTCTTTTGCAAACCACGGTCTTCTGGACTGGAGGCCACGTTCTTTCTGTAACTTGGAGGGTTCCCTTTCTTACTGATTTACAGCCTTTAGGAAAACAAGTCCTGCTTAAACAGAAGCCAAGTGGACCCTTCTGTTCTCCTGACCACGCCCCTCACCCCAAAGAAGCCTTTATGTGGGGCTTTATAGCCTTCAGCTGGCTTTCCGAACAGCTGGCGAAGACCAAGAATTGGGGATAACAAACATCCGTGTCCTTATGGGTGCAGGACTGCAGTTTAATTGTTCAGCACAGGGAGTGTAGTTTTCTTGGGAGAGAGTATATTACTTTTGAACAAAGTTCTAATTTGTTTGCCCGGAGAAAGGCGCGGGAAATGGCATACACCTGAACCCTAGACCTCTTTCTATTGTACATGTGATCAGCACTTCAAGATGCAACTTTTTTGGATTACATGTCCAAGAATCCCCACTCTGTGTGGGGAATTATGGGAGATGTGGCCTGAAAATGCAGTTTCCTGATCCTGAGGTACACTGCCACTGAACCTGGAGGTTCTTTGGATCTGCCGTGGCTAATAATGGTTTCTGCTCGGCTCAACCAACATGCTTGCTCATGTACTCCAAAAAGCAGAGGCAAGGAATGTCTGCGGCCCCGAGGCCACATTCTCGCTTCCAGTATGGGTTGTAACCGATCTGGGAACGGCCAAAAATGGTGGCGTTGGGGAATCATTTTGACACAATTTCATGTTCATCTTCCCATGTCAGATCCTGATTCATCAAAGATGAATAAAACAGAATTCTGTTTTATTTAGTGAAGGATAAAAGACACCTTTATTTAGAGGGATTAGGAAATGAATGTACACCTGCATGTTTACTATACTTCTCACCATTGCGCCCTCCTTACTGTAATCCCCCCACCCTTGCTTACGAATACCTAGTGGTACAACTTGATTCACGGAGAACGCCACAAGTTCCCGCATCCTCTGGGAGAATTGCTGTATGGCGTGTGGATGCATGGGAACATAGACGGCCTCTGCCTATTCCAGGGCAGTCACCGTTGGGTTGATTTACTAGGGAGGTTTTAAAAATAAATAAATAAGCAACCCACCCCACCATATGGCACTGTTTTATCGCTTTTGACTGAGCTGGGGGGAATTTGGATTGGCCAAAATTTTGGTGGCGAGGGGAGTCCCCATGTGCCACAGGTGGCATATCCCGAGGCTGGTGGGTTTGTTGCGGTTCAGGTCTAAGCAAGAAGGATAGAAAGAAGCTTTCACGGCGTCTCCGAAGGTCAAAGTCCATGCGATGGCGAGGGGGGGGCAGGATTGGCCCTGTCAACTCTGAGGCTTCTTCCCTTGCCTCCCTCCCCTTCATCCCGAGGCGACAGCTGTATGATAATTAGCCCGCTAAGCTGATTGACTCTGAAAGGGGCGTCGTGTAGCGCCCCCCCCTCCAGGGAGGCAAAGAGAGGGGGACGGGCAGGTGGTTCACAGAGGGAAAGCACGCTTGGCTCATTTTTCCTAGCATCCCGGGTCTGCTCGGGTCTGCTCGGACGAGAGCCAAGGGCCGAGGAACAGATCTGGGGGGGGGGAATTAACGCAGAGCACAGCTTCTGTGGATGTATAGCTTGGGTGGCGGAGAACGAGGAAGGCAAGGAGAGGAAAGATTGGTCTTCTCTTCTCACCCAACGGCGCCATGAAGATCTTTGGCCGGCTGGAGTACCTTCTGGTGAGGAGGCTGGGTCTCTTTGGTAGACCGTCAAACGGGACGGAGCGTTACTGTTCTGAGGTGACTTCAGCTGCGCCTTCTCTTTTCCCTTTTCCCGATACCAAAGGGCAGCCTGGAATGCAGGTCCGATGCTTCTGATGGTGGTGGTTTTTCGTTAAGCATAAAAGTGTATTCGCGGCTTACGGTTCTACCTTTTGGTCTCCAGCATGGAATGGATGAGATTCTATCACGCATCTCCAGCCTTCGCTCTCGGTTTTTACTGTTTCTGACTCTACACGTTGGCGAGTTTTGGTTTGGTTTTTCGTTTTTGTTGTTCCCTGGTCCCCATATTCTTTTTTTTGGGGGGGTGCTCAGGGAAGCGGCTGTGCCGGGGTGTGTTTGTTGTGTGTGTCAGCATGAGACCGCGTCAGATTGTTTTGGCCTGACGTCCTGAGCTGGATGTCCTCCACGGCATTCCAGATAAAGAGGTGCATTAATTGCCATTTTGTGACCTGATTTTTGAGAAAACAGCAGACTTTCAGGGCATGAACTGGGAGGATCGTGAGCCAAAGGAGGTGGGGGTGTTACGGGAGATGTAGTCAAAACACACCAAACGTCTCAGCTCTGATCCGTTCTTTGACAAAAGTCAGTTCTGTGTCCAGTCTTTCACTTTGCCAAGATCTATCAGCAAAACAGATGCATGCTTTCTCTTCCACCTTGCCTCCATCATCCTCCCCGAGCCTTTCCCCGTGTTAAAGACTGTAAGCTCCTCAGCTGAGGGAATAGTCTCTTGTGATTGTGACTCTTTTGAGGTATCTTTGAGGATGAGGATGAATAAGATTCAGTTATTTATTTACAGTTGGTTTTTTTGTTTGTTTAAAATATTGTGCCCGAGCATAAACCTGAAGGCAGCAGGCAAAGAGGGAGAGGGAAAATGAGATGGATTCACTGCAGAAACGAAGCCACAGAGTTTGCAAGTCTTGAACAGGGGAGGGCAGCGACAAAGTGAGAGAGAGATATGGGTTGTTGTTGTTGTTGTTTTAATAAAAGGAACGGTAGGAAGAGTCTTGCATCCCAAACAGGGTGTTGTACCCCTCTGTTAGTACTCATGGGCGCCTGAGGTTGTGAATGCTGGATAGTTCAGTGATTTGATGGGCGCCTGAGGTTGTGAATGCTGGATAGCTCAGTGGTTTGAGAGTTCAATTCCCCACCTATGCCTCCTTAATAGGGGTTTGACGATGGAGTTCAATTCCCCACTTATGGCTCCTTGATAGGGGTTTGATGATATGATCCATAGGGTCTTTTCCAGCTTTGCAGTTCTAAGATTTATTATTCTAATGCAGTGTTTAATGAAAACCGAGAGAGGCGTTTTAAAACCACATGGATGCTCAAGCTGGTCGAGGGGTTTGAAACAAACAAAAAGAAAAGAAAACTCCAAACACCTTGCATAGCAAAGGCAGCACATGGGTGAAAAGGAGCCCTTTTAATGTGCGCATGTGCTGGGAGGACTGGTCCAATCCTGCACCTTATCCATGGAACATCCAGACAGATTTGGCCAGTCCGAAAGGACGGGCGCCCGGGGAGGAGGTGGGCGACGCATGGCGTGCGTGTGTGGGTGTGATTGAGTGTCACCCAAAGACAAAAGGCTTCCCGTAGTCCCTGGCAGGGTCTGACGGCCACGTGGCCGTGGTGGAGCAGGCGCGTGGCCAAATTTATGTGTGTAAGCATGCAGAAAATCAATGGCTACTGTGCCCATTTTCACATACAGTTCACACAAGTCCATGAGTTCTAGAGATTAATTAATTTCTGGAATAAAAAGCACAACATAACTGTTTGGTTTCCCTGGGAACTTTTAATTCCCCTTATGCTCAGGATGTTGGTGGCTCGTGTGGACAAAAAAAGGAGCCACTCTTTCTCATTTATTTATTAATTTTCATTATATCCTGCCTTTTATTCCGTGGCCTGCGTGATTGGGTCACGTTGTGTGAGCCACTGGCCCAATGCCCTCTCGTGGTCTCTGTGTGGCCGAGTTGGAGTCTTGAAATCTTCTAAGTCCCGAATGACAATAAATTATATTATTATTATATCCTGCCTTTTCTTCCGTGGCCTGCGTGGTTGGGTCACGTTGTGTGAGGCACTGGCCCAAGGCCCTCCCGTGGTCTCTGTGTGGCCGACTTGGAGTCTTGAAATCTTCTAAGTCCCAGATCAGCCTTAAGCACTACGCCATACGGCCTTTCCAGGCTTCTTCAAAAAGTTTGCACCGAACTATGAATCCATAATGGAACCACTGTGGTTGAAAGGCTATTGAACTGATATAACCACGTCAGGTCATGTAACAATACGCTTAAGCTACCGGGAGTCAGGTTGAGGCTGAATACCAGGGGGGAAAAAACTTCTTAACTGTTAGAGTAGTACGACAATGGAACCCCATGAGCTCAGAAGGTGGTGAGCGCTCCAACGCTGGAGGCATTGAAGAGAAAATTGGACAACTATAAGTTCAGATACACTTTGATTTGGATCCCTGCCTTGAGCAGGGGGTTGGACTGGATGGCCTTAGAGGGCCCCTTCCAACTCCACGATTCTAAGATTCTAGGATTTAGAGATGCCTGGACTCTCCAGGGTTGGTGATCCTCCATGTTGTCTCGAGAAGTGGTTTTCCCATCTGGCTCATTTTAATTAGAGGTGGGATGGAAGGACAGGGAGCCTGACGGTGTTTTGCCACTTACAACGGAGGTGATGGGATAATCTTGTTGCCGTGATGAACAGATGAACGGAAAGCAACCGTGCTCCGGTCTCCCCTGGTCTTTGCTTTGATGTCTCATCTTCTGAGCATCATCGAAGAACCAGCCGTCGCATTGAACATGATCAGTTGCCTTCTGCGCATGCATGGGTAGCTCCACATGCCCCGTTGACCTGCCAGGACTGATGTTCAGGATTGTGGCAGACGCCACATAGAACAGGAGAGAGAGATACAGAGAGCGAGCGAACAAGCGAGTGAGCGAGCGCGCATGTGAACAGGCTGTTCTGAGAAGGAACCTTTCAACCCTTCTGCTCAGGTTTGCACATTAGGGTAAGCCAGATTGCGATGTGTGAGATTCTGGTTTTGTCACAAGCCGTGTGTGTGTGTGTGTGTGTGTAAATTTGATATGATGCCTACAGCAGTGTCTCGGCTTTGAACTTTGTTTTTTTTTCCCTCTAGGGATCGTCCTTCCTTCCTTCCTCCCATCCTTCCTCCCTTCCTTCCTCTCTTCCTCTGGAAAAGTTGTTCTTATGTTCCATCAAGTCACCCTCGACTTATGGCCACCCTATGAACGAGCCCCATCCTTCCTCCCTTCCTCCCATCCTTCTTCTGGAAAAGTTGTTCTTATTTTCCATCAAGTCACCCTTGACTTATGGCCACCCTATGAACGAGACCTCTCCACAATGTTGTGTCCCCAGCAGCCCTGCTAAGCTCTTGCACACTCAAGCCTATGGCTTCCTATAGGAATTCAGCCTATCTCACATTTGGTCTTCCTCTTTCCCTGTTGCCTTCTATCTCTGCCAGCATGATTGTCTTTTCCGGAGAACCCTGCCTTCTCATGATGCGCCCAGAATCGGACAGCCTCCATCCCTACATTTTTTGCCAACGGACATGGTTCAAGCTTGATTTGATCTAAGAACCTACTGGTTTCTCTTTTTGGCTGCCCAGCGTATCCGCAAAAAAAGCTCTCCTCCAGCACTAGTTTTCAAACGAATCCATTTTCCTCTGTCAGCTCTCTTCACTGTCTAGCTTTCACACCCGAACATGGCGATCGGGAATATTCTCTTGGAATTAGAAGCGTTAACATTAAACGTCCTTGTGACGGTTTTGCCCTGTCTCCTCATTGGTCAGTTTGAAAAATATCTGTGGTGGTTTGTATGGGAGTGAGATCCATCATTTCCATCGTAAGAATGGAAAGAGGAGAGGCCCTCTTTTGGAATTTGATCCCGCTCTGTGGCATTCGGTGTTGCCAAGGAAACAATTGTCTGAGGTCATTTTTCTTTGCTTGTCTTTTTTTAAAAAAAAGCTCTCCGGGCAAGATCTGAAGCTCTCTTGGAGGTATAAAACCATATCAGTGGGGGACTGGAAGAGGAGGAGAGTCTCTGGGATTTATTGAAATGATATTCAAGCCGAGCAAAAGGATGACCGAGGCGTTCGGCAGGAGGTTCTGGACGGGCATGGAAGGCGAATTTTTAAAACCCCAAGCTCTGTATCTTTCGCTGATTCCCATATTGGATCTCGGCTCTCTCGTTCTAGTAGCGCTCTGAAAGAAAGAAAGGGAAAAAAAATCCAAATTAATCTCAGTTGTATTCCAGTTCGCTCAGTCCCACGTGTATTCCTTTAGCCGTTGTTCCGACAAAATCACCGGGTGTCGTTTCCCATTTCGTCTCAAACGGTTGCAAGCGTTTTCCACACCTATTGTGTGCAACGCCTGCACTTTGCTTCTGCATTTTCCCCTGATCCAAATGCGTTTGTGCATATTTTCCCCCACGCTGAACGTGTTTCTTTCAGTGGTTTGCAATTTTTTAAAAAAAATGTCGCTATGGTGTAGCGCTTGGTTCATTTCTCTGAAGCTTGGAGGACGTATTTCTCTCAGGGCGAGCCTTGGCGTGGTGCAGAAACGAGACGATCACCTCAAAGCTGCTGAGGTCAACTTTTCATATTTATTTGGTTTTTAAATGTTCAGAAGGCTTCTTAGGTGTTGACGGTGTTCCAGCTGGTCGAAGCACTTCTTTCTCGGATCAGCCTTAAGCCCTACGCCATACGGCCTTTCCAGGGTCACGTATGCGCGTGGTCTCAAAGCTTATCGGTGTCCATGATTGTGAGTCCATGCTTGAGGTTCACGATGGAGGTCCCACAAAGACCTGGTGGAACATGGAGGTTGCCTGTCCTCATCTGACATAGCTCTGCTGTACAGAAGCGGTCGAATGGCGGCTCAGCGCTTCAAAGCCCCGCCTCCTCCGGCAGAGCGCCCACTCAGAGGCAGCGCCCAGAGGAGGCGGGGCAGAGAAGCCAGGTTGCTGCCCCTGAATGGGTGCCGCTGAAGGAGGCGGGGCTTTGAAGCCCTGGACACCTGTTTGGCTGCAAAACGAACCAGAACGAACCGCCAAAACCGTGGTTCCTGCCCATCTCCAAAAGGGATATTTTGACCTCCTCCATTCCACTAGACAACCGGCCACCATCATCCTCGTTTCCCTTCCTGTGGGGCAAACATCAATAAGGGGGAGGGCTTTGTGACTCAGCCACTTTGCCCTTAATTGGGATCGCTCAGCATCCTTCATTTTAATTGAGCCTGAGGCTGCCGTGGGGGGGGGGGACGGACGATGAGTCATTCCTCTCCCTCTGCATCATCTCGTCCCCAGGCTGCCTCGTATCCCTTGCTTATGAGACCTTCCCAGTGCACCCGAGTCTCTCAACATGGAAATAACTCATCCTAATGAGAGTGAAGTGTCTGTTGCTTAGCAACCAGCCTCCCCCTGGCTCTTGATGTGCATGGCGTGTCTATAAAGGCACTTAAGTTAATGGTTATTGTTGCCTGTAAAAATTTGCCACTGCTATGTTGCTGGGCCTCTCTCCACCAAATTAAGGGTTGCATGGGGGGCATTATAGCACTTTCCTGCAGGTAGAATCAAGTGACAAATGCAATTAAGTGTGGAGAAGTCTATCTATCTATCTATCTATCTATCTATCTATCTATCTATCTATCTATCTATCTATCTATCTATCTATCTATCTATCTATCTATCTATCTATCTATCTATCTATCTATCTATCTATCTATCCATCTATCCATCCATCCATCCATCCATCCATCCATCCATCCATCCATCCATCCATCCATCCATCCATCCATCCATCCATCCAATTATTGAACCCCTTTTTTTAACCCAAGAAAGGCTTCTAGAGCTGCTTATATTAAGAGTGTTCCCGGTCCATAGGCTTACAGCTTATGAGACACAACACAAAAGGAAAAGGGTTGAGGAGGGAAGAGGAAAACTCAAGCACTATGTATTATTTTTATTGCTCCAAAGCTCAGAAGGCAAAAAGAGGCAGATTGCTAATGAGCTAACTTCAGCAAGTAGTAGATTCAGCAAGTCATTTTGTTGAAATCTGAGAAATTCAGCCAATGAAGGGTAGCCTCCAGTTGTGAACCCCCATCTTCAAATATGGAGGACATTTTTTGCACAACCAAAAATTCGTGCTTATTAGAAGGCTCTAATCCGAGGCTCTCGTGATGCAGAAGTGAAGACATGGGGAGTGCAGAAGGAGCTGTAATGCTCAACCCCACCTACCGCAGAAAATCCTGTAGCAAAAAGAATCTGTAATTTTTCCTGGGACTTTTAACACATTTGGGAGGGCAAAGATTCGTCACTTTTGTTACCAGGGTAGCCATTACATCCTGTTGAACCATTCAGCAATGAAACATATTTTCAAAGGCAAAAATACCTACCCGGACAATCTCTAAGACTACCATCCAAAGACCTGAGATTATGGTCCCTTGAACCTGTTGGCTGAAATCCAGTAGTAACTAGAGTAAACCCATTGAATCAAGGAAACGCGTGGAGGAGCTGACTCACTAAATTCTCCACTGATTCAGTGGGCCTGCTCCAGTCGTGACTTACAACTGGATTTGAGCCATTGGCCCTTACTCCTATGTAGACATGAGTAGAGTTATTTTGGTTTATGGCTAAAACAAAATGTTCCTTCTTCCTTTTCCACTTTCCCTCCAACGAGTAATCACTCAGCAACAGTTTGATACCTTTCACAGTATACGTTTGCTTCGTTTAGGACTTCTCCTACGATGACTCCAAAGTGGAATTCAACGTTGACGCCCCCAATGGCGTGGTGATGGAAGGCTACCTCTTCAAGAGAGCGAGTAACGCTTTCAAAACCTGGATCCGGTAAGGAAGGAGCACAGTCGATCATAGGGTCAGATCCCAGACTATCAGATAGTTGTTAGCAACCTATTAATTTGAAATTGTCTTCACTAATCTTTGTCTGAAGATGGAAGTGTTCTTTTTTTTTTTCAAATGGCTAGGGTTTAGCGGGGCCCCTACTAGCCCTTGGCTAGAAGATGGCTCCCCATGCTTTTTCTTCTTGCTCCACCTGCCTTGTTCAGATGTACAAAGGGGACAAGAGAAGGCCAGCCCCAATTGTACTATTAACCTGATCCAGAGTTTTAACAACTTGAATGGAATTCCAGCTGCTCCATGCTTCCTCTGCTTGGATTGGTGGTTTTTTTTGTCCTGCCATCTTGTGTGTTCCCATTGTCCTTCGTCCTTTATGAACCATATAGGCTTTTCCCCCTGAGTGGTTAGAGTGGATAGCTGTTTGCGGTGGATCTGTGGTTTTCCCCCTAAGCTGCTGCTAAGATCAGTCCTGAAGAGCAGTATCCCTGCTTAATTCATTGAGTCCTCTTCCCCATCTGCCAGTCTCAATTACAGGTAATTCTCTTTTGCAGACAAGATGGGGAGGTTGGTCCATGAAAGGCCCATTATTAAAGTTACTTAGGTAAGCTGTGATCCTCCTGAAGGAAAGGATTTCTAAAAATTTTAATCCCAGTTTTAGAGGAAATTGGAGGAGCAGAAAGGAGTGTCCTGATTTTAATTGGTCTTGTAGGGAGAACAGACTCCTGGCCCTTTTGGTATAGGGTTGGTCTACTAGATGTTTGGTGACTTGAAGAATAAAAAGGGTTTGCATGATTTCTAAGTCACCTGTAAATAGTCATAGCCTGATTTTCAAACTGGAATAAGAATGCCGTAAAATCTAGAAAGGATAATGACAGCTGATTAATTTACTAAGAGACAGGAAAGTCGAGTTATTACAATTTTGAAAGGGTGTGTGGAATTATAGGACTATCAGCATGACACTCATTGAGGATTACTGAATTCACAAGGTTTCTTCTGTGACTCCCTATTGGAAAATCTCATAAGAATAAACATGTGTACACAGTGTGTCTGAGTATCCATGTGACCTCTTTACTCCTGCCTTCCAGGAGCCCATAAGAAAAAGTGGATCACCCAAGATATTTGGAGAAACAAAGCAGATGTAAGGATGCAGTGGTGTAGTCTTACACAAAATAAACATGCTAAAACTCATAATAGGTAGAACCTCCTTCCTTCCTTCCATCTGTCCGTCCATCCTTACACAGTTGATCCATGGCTGACAATTTGATTTTAAGGCTTCTTTCAGAGACCGGTTATGAAGTCAGTAACAATCTGATCCTTCAGCATTGCCCAGTCCTCTGTGTGGACCGGAGATGGGGAAAGCCTGGTCACTGGTGCGGGAATTTCGGAATGCATGAACTACAACCACCAGAAATCTGTAGAAATCCCGTACAGCCTGACTTTTGAGGGCTGCAATCTGTAAATTCCGAAAAATCCACGTGTAGTTGTCGTTTTTTTTTAAGCCACTTTTCTCATTTCCAGCTTAGACTTTGGGAGGTGCCCATAGCCTACTCTTTCTGGATTTCAGAAGGATCCGGTGTGAGAAATGCTGAGAATTAGCTGTCAGCCGCTGTCAGGTTCAGCCAAGTGGAAAGGCCTGCATCCACGCTGCCGTGAAGCATTGAGCGCTGCAGCGCTTCAGCGCCGAACAGCTGAAGCCACTGAATGAATGAATAATGCAGGAAGGGGATTAGCCATGGCGTTTTGACAACCGCCGGCTTTCGCCCTCAGAAGGTGCTGACTCCTCTAAAATGCTTCAGGGCATACAGAGAACTTCTGTCATATGGCCTGTCTAGTCGGCCATCTTGTTTTTGTAGCAGTGACCGACCAGTTGCCGAGGTGGTGAGGGGAACAGTCCTCTAGCCTCTCTCTCTCTCTCTCTCTCTCTCTCAAGACAACAGCCAGGGGGGCCATCGGACTGTGTAGAGAAAAAGCTCTCTCTCTCTCTCTCTCTCTGAAGGCAACAGCCAGTGAGGCCATCAGACTGTGTAGAGAAACATACAATGAGGAGAAAGACAGGCAAATCCCTTCATTTTTCGTTCCCCCGCACCTGATTTGTTTTATTTTTTTTAATTCTCACATTCTTTGCAAAGAATCGTTGAAGAAAATGTGTGAAATTTAGTGAGTTCCCCTTGAAAATAAAATAGACCACCCTTGTTCATGTTTGTTTATTGGACTAGCAAAATTCATGAAAAGGGGGACAAAAATCATAAACACCCAAGAGTTACTGTGACTCATATAAGGGTCCATTCTACCCTTTAGGGTCGAGATGGCAGGAGATGAATTATTGGCCTGAAAGCAATGTAAAAGAACTTGGGGAAATGATTCAGGACTCTTTGGATGATTCTCCATGTTGGGCATAGTTCGACACCAGTCATATTTGCTCTGTATTTGCTGTCCGGTAGCAAATATCAACAGACGTGGTTGTGATCTTCCAGCAACAGATGTGCAATAGCGCTGAATTGTGGTGCTCTAAAGCAAGGCTTCCCAACCTTGGGTCCCCCAGATGTTGTTAGACTACAACTCCCAGAAATCCTGGCCAGCACCGTGAGTGGTGCAGGCTTCTGGGAGTCGTAGTCCAAAAAAACAGCTGGGGACCCAAGGTTGGGAACCATTGCTCTAGAATGGATGAAAGCCTGAGGTGTCCTCATTACAGCTGGGAGAGAACCTTCCACCCAGCTGGCCAGGTCAGGGGATACTGGGAATTGTAGTCTATATTCTCACACCCTCTCACAGTGGACATAGCTAATTCCCATGCCCGCATTGTACCAATCGGTACACCTTCTTAGGAGGCAGCCAGACTGCTTTCTGTACGGTCGTCGTTTGGGTGGTTTGCAAGGTGTCAGACGTGGTCCAACATTCCTCTTCTTGCAGAAGCTGCATGCTGCAAGCCGATTCGGAGAAGCTGCGCCAGGCATGGATCCAGGCCGTTCAAGCCAGCATCGCCTCGGCCTATCGGGAGAGCCCTGACAGCTGCTACATTGAAGTGAGTTCGGTTTTGCGGGGCGAAATAACCAAGGCTCCCTTGCTGACCCATCCTGGGGTCCGGATCTCCAGTTTCAGAGATGTGTCGTGGCTTGGGTAGGACTTGCCCTGTTGCGCCACCTCGTGGTGGGATTTGGTAGCACACATCGGAATCTTGACTTCACCAGCTAAAAGACAATATACAAATAATAGATAAGGACTTAAACAATTTAAAGGGATAAAACATCTGTTAGATTAGTATTTACTTATTCTTAAAAAATAAAAAAAGAAAGATATAGTATAATAAAGTGTGGTATGATATGAGCCAAGAAACCCACCGCCATAACTGCAGTTCGAAGATAATGATGACGACGTTAATGGCACACGGTAATAAGCTGTTGATCATGATCCCAACTTGGGAGAAACAGGCTCAGATCCAACCTCAACCAGGAAATCCACTTGGATGATTTGAGGAGGGTTATTTTCTCTCCCCGTCTGATCCACCCCATAGGGTCATTGTAGAGATGAAGTGGGGAAGGGAAGAGCTTCATAGGCTTTTGGGAGGTCATTAGAAGGAAGGCGAGATCAACATGCAAAGAATAAACAACGGCTGGAATCCTGTTGCGCTGCTACACCAACAGAGTAGCTTTCAGAAGAAAATGGCCTCAAGTTAAGGAATCTCCTTAACTGTTCCCTGGAGGTTTCCTAAGTGGAGGAACTAACTGCCTATCAGCGTTCAGCTCTTTATGTAACAGTGCAACAGGATTTCAGCCACTAGGTATTTTTGCCCAACACCCCCTTTCCTCTCTCTTTCTGTCCAGAGACTGGACCGAACAGCCTCTCCTTCGACCAGCAGTATCGACTCCGCCACCGACTCCCGAGACCGGAGTGGCAAATGCGAGACCATCCTACAGAGGGTCCAGAGCATCTCAGGCAATGACCAGTGCTGTGACTGCGGACAAGCCGACCCTCGATGGGCTAGCATCAACTTGGGGATCTTACTATGCATCGAATGTTCTGGGATACACAGGTATGCTGCCATACACGAGTCCCAGGAAACAAGCCATGAGGAACTTTGGACCTGGGGTCCTGGAATCCAATCAGAGGCTAATCTAGTGCAGCATCCTCTTCCCTTTTTGGTCAAATGCACACAAGAAGACTCCATCGGCTCAACAACACTTTCCGATTTACATTCCCCAAGTGTAATTCAGAGGCAGAAAGTGTTCTGGTGCTAAAGGGAATATGTAGGTATCCCTCACAACTTGTCTCAATTGACCATCTCATCCTCCATGAATTGATAGGATCCCACTTTAAAGCCCTGAAAGTTGACGGTTGTTATGACAACTTGCAATAGCGCTAGAGTGCACTGTAGTGCTACAGCGCTATGCTGCTACAGCGCTATAGTTTTTGAGTGCTGTGGTTCTAGGGCATTGTGGACATTTTGCTCTATAGAACCCTTCAGAAATCAGACCATTAATATCTCTGGGAGGCTACCAGCCTTGGGAAGAACCCACATATGATCTGGGTGGCTCGTCTCTGGTTTAAAGTAGTATCAATTTAAAGAAAGACTATAAGAGGAAAGTTCTATTATTGGCAAGGAGCTGGTTCTCAGCAGGCACATGGGTTTGTATCTACAGCAAAGAGTTGTTGATTTTTATGAGTAGTTATCTTCCCTGTTTTGCCTCCCTCTTCCTTCTAGGAGCTTGGGGGTACATTGTTCCAAGGTGCGGTCACTCACGTTGGATTCCTGGGAGCCAGAGCTGCTGAAGGTAAAGACTGAGCCTCCAACAGCGAAGAAAGAATGGGAATGGAGGGACAGGATTGGAGCAGAGGAGAGGTGGTAACCATCAGCATAGCAGAAAAAGGGATGTGTGTGGAATTTTCCTGTAGGTTTTCATGGATTCTAGGAATCCAGAGTGAATCTGCACTACCCTGTTAGAGCCGTTTGATACTGCTTTAACTAATGAGTGCCTTGTGCCTTATCTTCATGTTCTTCCTCTTTTTTTGCATGCTTTCTAAAAGCTGATGTGTGAGCTGGGCAACACCACCATGAATCAGATCTACGAGGCCCAGTGTGAGGAGACGGGACTGAAGAAGCCCACGGCAGGCAGTTCCAGGTAAATGTCTGTCCTGCTTTCCTCCATTTCCAGTTCCCTGCTATCAGGAAACCTCCCCCATTGGGTTGCTTTGTCCCCCAGTATTTTTTGAAGCTTAGATGTAGCTACACTTGAGATCAAAGTCACTTGTGGCTAGTGTGTCTATTCTAGTTGGGGCTAGCCATTTCAAAATTTATCTATTCATTGAATTCCTTTCCCACCAGGGCATGAAAATAAGAAACAAAATAAATCATGCCAATCAAGAAAAACTTGCAATAACGCTAGAGTGCACTGTAGTGCTACAGCGCTATGCTGCTACAGCGCTATAGTTTTTGGATGCTGTGGTTCTAGGGCATTGAGGAGATTTCTATGTCCTATGTCATGGCCACAATCCACTTAGTTAAATCAGGGCCTCTCAATCGGTGTAAGTCTTATCGAGGGATTGCTGGAAATTAAGAAGTTAGGGTGGGGATTATATTCTGATCCCTGCGACACTGTGTCCCGACAGGGAATGCCCATGCTGACTTCAGAACCTCTGACCATTTGCCACTGCCATTTAGACTGGTCTCGTTACACCCGGGTAAAAATGTGATGGGATTCCCACCGATGGCATAAAAAGAGCCAGCGCCCTCATTTGAAGCTCACTGTGGTGAGAAAAATGGGAGAACCTCGCCACGTCTGGTCCTAAATATCCCATCCATAGGGACCAGTTCTGCCACTCTGAGATTATATACTCTTTGGAGGAGGAACAGAAATGAATGAGCTCAACTGCTGGGTAGCTCAGGGGATTTAAGTCTTTGGCTGTAGAGCCAGAGGTTGGGAGTTCGATTCCCCCCTTGGGGCCTCCTCGACAGGAGCTGGACTAGATTATTTCTAGGATTCCCTCCAGGTCTGCAGTTCTAAGAAGACGATGACGGTGATGTTTTAAACACTGTCTTCTTTCTCAGGCAAGACAAAGAAGCCTGGATCAAAATCAAATACGTGGAGAAGAGATTCTTAAAGAAGTTGCCCGCTGGCCAGACCCTGGCGGAGAGCGAACGGAAGCCTAGGCGCTGGAGCGTCAAGAAGTGCCAGAGGCGAAATAGCGCTACGAAGGTGCCAGTGGCACGTCGGAAGTACCGCCACGAAGCAGGAAACGCCTCCCCAGCGGCACATTCTTCAGGTGACCTTTGACCTCTGTTTCCCTCCCTCGGTCCCACCGCCCAAAGCTTTTGTGAGCCAGTTAGACCTAGTTATTTAGCTCACTTTTCCAGAATTATAGGCCTTCTAAACCGGTTTCCAGATCGCCGTGGAAAGGAATTTCAAAACCACAAATAGAATCCAGAAGCTTTATTCTTGCACTACAGCTCCCATCGGCGCCTCCTCCTCCCAGCCGGAAGGATTTTGGGAGCTGTCATTCAAAGACAGGTTAAAATTTCCAAGCTTTGAAGGTTACGTTCTTGTACATCTTCAAAGCTTAGGGATTTTACCTATCTCTTTTTGGAACGATCTCTCCCAGAATCCTTCTAGCTGGGAGCAGACGGTGCTGGGAGTCATAGCGCCATGCACAATTCTTCTAGGCTCGCTCTCCTGGTGGTTTTGAAATGTTTTCCCACCCTGACTTGGAAACTGGTTTTGACGGTGTATAATTTTGGGAACGTGATCTAAATAACGAGGTTTAACTGGATCCCATGACCTTAGTGGGGCTACAACCTTGATGGATTCCGTCTTCCTCATCGGCCAAAGAATGGCCCTAAGCATTAGAAGAAGAGACATCCCATTTCGGGAGTCACAGACTCGACAGCAAATGAACCCCACAGGATTTTCAATTGTCCTTCTTTACAAACAGCGGCCACCCTGGAGCGGAAATTTCGCCGGGACTCCCTTTTCTGCCCGGACGAACTGGATTCCCTCTTCTCCTACTTCGACACGGGCGCCGGAGCGGGGCCACGCAGTAAGTAGAGCCATGCCACGGATGCTTTTTTTTTTCCTGCCGAACCATGGTTTTCCGTTCTGGGATTTCAAGGGCACATGCTCTGCTGGACGGAGCAGAAGGCGATAAACCTTCTGGGCGCAGGGGCGCGCAGGCAGGCGTGTGGAACAACAGGGAGAGGAAGAGGGCTGGGGAATCTCGAGATTTTTCTTTCTGGAACTACAGGTCCCATCATCCCCGAACCGGCATGGCCATCCAAGTTCCATTTGACATAGACAATCATTTTCAGATACCTCCGGTTAAAATCTTCCGCCTACTCCCTCAATTGCATTTTTTAAAATCATTTTAATCATTTTTTAATTTTTGGTGGCTGCTGTTATTATTCCCCCCATTCTGTCCTCCCCCCACCAAAACTGATGCAAAGGTGGCCAGCCCTATTCTCTCCTTTCTGCGCCCCCCCCAATATCTTCATTTTGGCCTTTATAAGAGAAATAGATGGCTGTCCTTATTGTTGCTTTTGAAAAAAAGAGAAAGAGAGAAAAGGAAGATACAGAAACAAGAGCATTTTGACAATGACACCCCCCCAAGTGGCTGATGTTCCGTCCGCCTCCTTCCTAGGTGGCAACCATGTCCCCGTGCAGCCCCCCCCGGCAGCCAACCCCTGGAGTGACAATAGCCAGGGTCCCGCGGGAAGCAGCTCAGCGTTCCTCCTGGACGGAGGTAAGGGGGACTACCTTCACCTGTTCAGCCTTCCGAGAGGCTCTCGCTGCTCCGTAGCTATGTTAGGGGGGTTCTCGCTACAAGAGAGCCTCCATGTTCCGAGGCAGGGTACCTTACACGACCAGGGCCCCTGGGGGAAAAAAACCCGGGGAGTGGAGGACTCTTCTCCCAGCTCAACGGCTTCCTAGAATTAAACAGCCATCAGCCCGTGGAGCCTGGATCTGGTCCATTTTGTCTGTTCTTAAGCTGGGGCTTATAGCGCTGAGCCTAAATCCACCCCTTCTTGCGTCCCAGCCTGCTTCTTGGGCTCTCCTAGGTCACGCGTGGTGCCCTCTTTTCATAGTTTTACATAAACCTTACTGGATAGCTCAGTGATGTAGATATTTGACTGCAGAGCCAGAGGTTAGGAGTTCGATTCCCTCCTACACCTCCTTGACAGGGGCTGGACTGGATGATCTAAAAGGATCCCTTCCAGCTCCTGCCATTCTATGATTACTAGGAAACCTCAGATTACATCCGTGGTATGGAATTTTTCCCTCTTCTAAAAGATTGGGCTGTTTCTCTTAAGGCTTTGAATGACCACCGGGAAGGGCTTTTAACAGCACCCATGCGGCGTAGTGGATAGAGTGTTGGACTAAGACTCGGGAGATCTGGGTTCAAATCCCCGCTTGGCCACAGAAACTCCCTGGGCAACAGTAAGCTCTTAAGACAAACATCTTAAGCATCACTCGAAAATGTCATTTGGGGTGGTCTTGTTTGGAAGCAACTTGATCGCGCAGAACAGCAACAAAGAACTCGCTGCTAAAATATTTTTGCAGAGTCACAACCGGCTGCATTTTGAAATGGGATCCCCGTACCACAGCACTTTCCCATTAGCTCTTTCCCTTGGCAAGAAGTTCCTCCTCAGGGCCCTTTCCCAGAGCTGCTGTTCAGAGCAAAACAGACAAGGCACCCGTAGGAATGTCACCTTGACTTTCTGATTCCCCTTTCCAGCCCAATATGAAGGGTGTTCTGGTTGCTGTGGGGTTTTTTTGGGCTCTTTAGCCATGTTCTGAAGGTTGTTCTTCCTAACGTGTTTTTGTTGTGGAACACGCTGATCACCATAATCGCCCAATCTCCTGAAAAGGACAAAAGCGGTTCCCGCAGCTATAAATACTCAACTATCCAAACAAACTGCAATGGAGCACAGACAAGAGTTCCTGTCCTCTGAAGATGCCGGCCACAGAGACTGGTGAAACGTTAGGAAGAACAACCTTCAGAACATGGCCAAAGAGCCCGAAAAACCCACAACAACCAGCAGATCCTGGCCGTGAAAGCCTTTGAGAATACATTGAAGGATGTTCCTTTGGAGAACGAGGTGTGGAAGTTGCATCAGAAGTGTTCTGTGGAGTGTACATATTATGGAACTGTCCCATACCTTGGTCATGATGTGCCAAGCCTACGCCACAGCCCTACGCCGTGTCCTCGGTCATGTCACTTTGCTTTGGTTTGTCTCACAAGCTCCTTCTGTGTCATGGGGCTGACAATGTTGCCGAACCCTTGCATTTCTCTGATGGAGACTAATGTGGAAAAAGCCAGTACTTGCACCGTCTTTAAAACAGTGGCTCCCAACCTAGGGTAACCCAGGTGTTCTTAAATTGCAAATCCCAGAAATCCTGGCCAGCACAACATATGGTGGAGGGTTCTGGGAGTTACAGTCCAAGAACATCTGGAAACCTAAGGTTGGGGGAACCCCTGCTTTAAATCGATGCAAAGTGTCTTGTGTGAATGCTTCGAAGTGGAGTAAACAACTACTAGGGCTTAGAAACAGCACTGGTTCAAATAGGTTAACTCCACTGCTGGAACATATGCTCCCTTTTGCAGTGAATGCAATAGTCATCTATGGTATGGGAGAGTACAAGAGTGCCCTTCTGCATCATAGAGTTCAGCCAACTGGTAGAGCAGAGCGTCTCTTTGCTTCCCAGAAGGGAAGGAGGAAAGGGCACCATTGAACTCCAGCAACGTGATTGCTTTATTAGTGAAAACAGTCTGGTGGGCTGGTGTCAGCCAGTGGTCCTCAACCTTGAGTCCCCAGGTGTTTTTGGACTACAACTCCCAGAAATCCTGGCCAGCACAGCTAGTGGGGAAGACTTCTGGGAGTTGTAGTCCCCGTTAGCCGTCTGTATGTCAGAGTGAGTTTGGAGTCTGTCCAGAGAGAAAAGAACAGCAATGTTCCCTTATGACTTTCTCTGCAATCTGAGCCTTAAAGGATCATGGGTAGGATCTCCAGGTCTGGTGCCACAACAGCTTGTAATGCTGCATCTTCCCCAGAAGGTGGCGCTGTCATCTTTTGCATGCTTGTTCGCGTAACAGAGAGCTAGAAGACAGGAGGAAGGTGGGGAATATGAGACTAGCCCGTGGGAGAACTTACATATTAAAATGCACTTGGTTTGCCTCTTGTTGGCCCTGCAGGTCTGAGCAGTGACAGCGGGCTAGGCGGAAGTACCGACGGCAGCACTGACATCCTGGTGTTCGGCTCGGTGGTGGACAGCGTCACGGAAGAAGGTAGGTCCTGCGGGCGGGAAGGCTGAGAGCTTCCAGAAGGTGGATTCTAATTCTCCAAAGCCCACTGCCCCCTGGCAAGGGTGGGCAACTGTGGGTCCCCGGGCTGAATCAGGCCTTGTTGGGTTCCGATCTAACTAGCGGAGGTCCCCCCAGAGTGGCTGCACCCGTCCTCCCTAAGATCCACCATGGTCTCCCAGTTTCTGGGTAATTTTCCTTCACCCCACTGTGAAAGGTGGAAAGGGCTTTCCAAAAGCTTCATTAATTCATTAAAATAGGTTGGTCTCCCCCTTTTGGCCTTGGGTAGCTGGAAGGAACTCTCCTAGATCCTTAGGTTGAAAGATATTCCCTGCTCTGAGTTGGGTCCATCGTGGCCGCTCTTCTTTGATGGACCCCCATCCTGTGTCTTCTCCTTCCCAACCTTCTCCTCCGGTAGAGTGCGAAGTTTCGGAGGAATCCAGCGGAGAAGCCGAGATCGAGCAGGAAGCCTCCGACCTGGAAGACCTGCGGGAGCTCCACCCGGGCTTACTCGTTTACAAGGCGTCACGGGCCCGGAACCTGCCCGTCATGGCGGAGGCCTTGGCCCACGGGGCGGACGTCAACTGGGTGAACGACGAAGACGAGAGCAAAACCCCGTTGATTCAAGCCGTCATGGGGGTAGGCCATGCCTGCCTGCTTTGGGGTGTGTGTGTAGGGTTAAAGGATGCAAACCAGGCCTGAGATTTCCACATCAGGCCACGCTGAGTGTGTGCCGTTGATCTGGCACCAACATGGCCTCGTCCCAATGGCTAGATCACGTCAGTTATTTCCTGTCTTTGCTCCTCCTGTAGCATCTTCTAGGCTTGTACGGTCGGGGAGTATACTGGGTCCATAGTGGGTTCAGACAGCGCATGGAGCAGGGGGACCTGCGAATAACCAGTTTGGAAAAAGCCAGGACAAGGCCTCCGGGTCCTCAAAACAATACAGATGCAGGGGGACACCTTTACTGGACCATTAAGAAATGTCCCACTGACTCTGGGCTGCTGTTGAGCGCCAGGGGTACATCTCCACCGAAGAAGCTACCCCTGGCCCCCAACAGCAGCCATAAGACTTTGCCATTTTAATAGAAACATAGGATATTGGAGCTCCCAAGAACTTTGGTGCATAGCCTGAGGAAGCTGAATTATTATTGAAAGCTCACTTGATGATGATGATGGTGATGATGATGATCATCATCATCTTAACAGTCCAATAAAGGTATCGCCTGTTCCTGCCTTTATACTCCTAATACCAGTTCGGGTCCAGGTGTTAAGTGGCTTACCTGGTGCTGTCCTTGGTGCTGAATCTTCAAGCCGCAAAGCTGGGGCGCCTGCTAAGACCTGGTAGAGCAGCGGTCCCCAACAGTTTTAGCCCCGCGGACCGGTTGGGGATGGCCTCTGTGGTAGAGGGTCCCTTCTAGATCGGCGGTTCAGGACCGAGGACAGCTCCGAGCGAGCCACTTAATGGCTGGAGTGGATGGAACCAAGGCTTCTTAGATTGTTGGCCTCAAGGCCAGAACGTGGCAGCTCCTCTAGCAGCTTCTGCTGAGTGTGATTAATATCCCACCTCTTGGAGCCATGGAGTGCCTAGGACCAAAGGAGGTGCCTGGGCACAGTCTGGGGAATCTCAGGCCTGGGTGTTATACTGTCATAGTGGAAGGTCAGGGCTAGGGCTAGTTTCAAAGGCTAGGGCTACAGTGAGTCATAAAACATGCCCAAAACATGGTGTGCGGGAGAAAATCTGCATGGCTCAAAGGTGTCTAACTGGGGGGAAAAGCATGCACAGCTACGCCAAAGTCAGTGGGGGAGGATCACATACACCATACAAAGTGTTTAAATTAAGAAAGCACAATGAAAAAGCACACAGATCTTTGTGGGCAAAGAACCACATCATGTGGAGCCACCTGGTATGAAGCAAGGATGAGCAGCGCCGCTGGTGGGGTGTGGAAGAACTCCACAGAAATGGAAGCAGGCAATTTTTCCCCCCTCTCGAGTCAGCTTTGACAATTGTGTGTTCTGCCCAGAACCCGCCAGTCTGCCTGGAATCCTCCACTAATTGCTCCCCTTTCTGTTTTTGGACAGGGTTCCTTGATAGCCTGTGAATTTTTGCTCCAGAACGGAGCGGACGTTAACCAAAGAGATATACGGGGTCGCGCCCCTCTGCATCACGCAACGTATTTGGGCCATACCGGGTAAGTCCCGCGGCGTCTGTCCGGGTGTGGAACCGTGGATGTTCAGGAAAGAACCTCAGGCTCTGGGACGAGGAACAGGGTGTGTGGGTGGTGATGAGGAAGAAAAGACTGTTGTGGACAGATCCTCTCCCCGCACTCCTCTGGAGCTAGATGGGGGGGGGCTTTCTTAGCCTGTTTCTCCTCCCACACTCTACCTCCTTCACCACAAGTGCTGGGGTGTCCCACACTCTACCTCCTTCACCACAAGTGTTGGGGTGGCTCAATGATTTGGGTCTCTGGCTGTGGAGCCAGAGGTTGGAGCCAGAGGCTCCACTGGGGCCTCCTTGACAGGGGCTGGACTGGATGACCCAGAGGGTCCCTTCCAGCTCTGCCATTCTAAGATTATTATTACAGTGGTGCCTCGCTAGACAGTTACCCCGCATGACAGTTTTTTCGCTAGACATTGGCTTTTTGCGATCGCTATAGCAATTCACAAAACAGTGATTCCTATGGGGGAATTTCGCTGGACAATGTTTGGTCCCTGCTTCGCAAACCGATTTTCGCTAGACGATGATTTTGCCAGCTCCCTCTGCGATTGCGAAGCAGGTGTTTTCGGGACCTAAGCTTCGCAAGACAACGATTTAAACAGCTGATTGGCGGCTCGCAAAGCGGCTTTCCTATGGCCGATCTTCGCTAGACAACGATGATTCTTCCCCGTTGGAATGCATTAAACAGGTTTCAATGCATTCCAGTGAGGAAATGCTTTTTGCTAGACGATGATTTCACTAAACAGCTATTTCAGTGGAACTGATTATCATCGTCTAGCGAGGCACCACTGTATTAGAAACTAGGGAGCTTTCAAGGGACATTTCCCTGGCCTCAAGCCCAGAACCTGGTTAATCATTCTAGGACTGTCTGCTGAGTGTGGTCCTGGGTTTAGCCTCCTATCCCCTTGGATCATGCCGTTCCTAGAAGCAGATGGCCATCCCAAGGCTGGGCCGGACCCTGGAGGGGGTCAGCGCTCTTATTGGCATCCCTGAACTTGGAGCATAACCCTTTTGGCTTTCTCATGTCGCAGATCTTTCTCCAATTTGAAACCCTTGAATCATATAGTGGTTTCCCCCCCTCCTTTTTGTGCCTGGCAGCCAGGTCTGCTTATTCCTAAAACGAGGAGCCAACCAGCATGCGGTAGACGAGGATGGGCAGGATCCCTTGAGCATTGCGGTGCAGGCTGCCAACGCGGACATTGTGACTCTGTAAGTAAACCCCCTCTGGCCCCCAATGGACTGGACCAACGCCCCTCGCTTTCCAATCTGTGCGAATCCCAAATGCATTGAGCCCTTTAGGATTACGGGGCATGGGGATAAAAAAAAACCAACCAGCATGCGGTAGACGAGGATGGGCAGGATCCCTTGAGCATTGCGGTGCAGGCTGCCAACGCGGACATTGTGACTCTGTAAGTAAACCCCCTCTGGCCCCCAATGGACTGGACCAACGCCCCTCGCTTTCCAATCTGTGCGAATCCCAAATGCATTGAGCCCTTTAGGATTACGGGGCATGGGGATAAAAAAAAAAAGCATTACAATCTGTGCGAATCCCAAATGCATTGAGCCTTTTAGGATTACGGGGCATGGGGATGAAAAAAAAAAGCATTACAATCCCCATGTATTTTGATGCATAGATTTCCCAGAGGCGTGCCACTTTCCCTAATCCATGTGGTTTTGCTGCAATGTTCTCACGTTGGGGAGTTTGCAGACTGAAGATTTTTCAGTTCTTCAGCCCACATGGCTGCAATTACAAAATGGACAATGCCTTGGAGCCTAAGTGGCTGGAGTAGTTGAGACGCGTGGGCTGGGAGCTGTCCTACAGCAGCAGAATATTGGAAGGATCACTTTGATCCTTCAGCTTTTGCCTTGTTTCCTGGACATTTAAGACTTAGAAGCCTTGGATGGGTTGTGTGTGTCTTTCCAGTCAATGAGCTGGTCCTTCAGTGTTTGTTGGACGTGTGTGCTTTGCGTCCTCAAAGGAAGTAACTAGTTTTGTACAGACTGAGGACATCTCCATGGCAGGGGGAAACAGACCTTGTGCTGAAAGCAAGACGTCTCAAGGATGACAAAAAAATTCAGTACGGCACAGTGGTTAGAGTGTTGGATTATGACTCAGGAGACCTGGGTTCAGCCATGAAGCTTACCAGGGGACTTTGGGCCGGTCACTGCCCTTCTGTTGGATTATGACTCAGGAGACCTGGGTTTAGCCATGAAGCATTGGCTGACTTTGGGCCTGTCACTGCCCTTTGGGATGACCGACCCCACAAAGTTGTTGGGAGGATGAAGTGAGGGGAGAAGTCATGTGATTTCACCTTAGGTTTATGGGAAGAAAAGTTCAACAAGATTAGATTCAGTGGTGGGGAGCTGGTCAGCGTCTTGACAGAAATCTGCCATGGACAGCACTGATTGGCTAGTGCCAGGGAAATCAACGATTTGACAGCTGGGGACCTAGTTTGACCTCCTTTGTTGGGCACAGTCTCCTACAGAAGGAGGCTTCAGTTGCCGTTGCCCCTTTCCTGTAACTCACTTCTACCCAACCAAGGATGACCCAAGCTTTCTTCCCTCCTCTCTTTCTCCAGGCTGCGTCTGGCGCGAATGAACGAAGAGATGCGCGAAGCCGAGGCTCCGTTTGGGCACCCAGGTCAATATGCTAACAACAGTCCGACAGAACTCCAGTACAAAAAATGTATACAGGAGTTCATCAGCCTTAACATAGATCAGTGTTAGTGACTTCTCTCACAAGCCTGCTGCTTCCTCCTCCTCCTCCTCTTCCTCCTCCTTTCGGGTCGAAATTTATGGATGCGGGACTGAGCCCCGGGGGAAACCAACGAACTGTACCTGAGTCGGGATGGGGTGGGGGTGGGGAGTTTTCCATTCCAATTGTGAAAGACCGCAAGGGGACGAACGCGGTGCTCCTGGAAAGGGAAAGAGAGAGAGAGAGAGAGACGGAGAGAAATCTGGGAGAGACCGCTTTAAATAATAATAATAATAATAAATCCACATAAAATATTTCTAATTTGGTTTGCAGAAGAGGCTCCTATCCGGGGACCAACCTGCAGATCTATTTGGGGAGAGAGAGCACAGCGGGGATTCAACACAAAAGTTTATTATATAGGATTTATAAACACGCACGGACATAAACCAACCTTAGTCAAGAATAAGAGTGGTCGTCCCCCCTCCCTCCCTCCGTTTTTGTCGTCCTTCATTGTTTAATTTAACTTAGTTATTTTTGTATAAAAACCCTTCCTTTGGGGAATAAAAGCAAGAGTTGTGAGAGAAGAGGGGAATGGTAAATATTTTTTTTTATCCTGGGTTGAAAAATGAAAGAGAAGAGGGGAATGGTAAATATTTTTTTTGATCCTGGGTTGAAAAATGAAAGATGTTTATGCTCTCTCTCTCTCTCTCTCTCTCTCTCTCATTTGCTCGGTTGCTTGTGTGCACACATGCAGTAGTATTGGCCACCATAATGGGATGGGATTCTGGATCAGTTGGAATGATTATTATTACGAGTAACACACACACACACACACATACACAGGCGTACACCCACGAATCAGGTGGTTTAGGGATTACCCAGCCTGCTTGCGTACAGAGCAGGCATCGCTTGGGTTTCAGCAGGGCTGCTGGCGGATCTGTTTGCCATCTCCTGCGCATGCGCAGCAGTTCATGGGTTGAGTGGCATGGCCGCCCACCTTGAACATGCTCTCAGGTTAAAGCCAGTCAATGCTTCCTCAAACTTTTTTTTTGGCGGGGTGGGGAGGGAGGTAGAGGAACACAGGCAAGGGGGGTGCAAATGAACAGGGAGGTAAGCAGAGCTGGTCAAAGCCATAACTCAGCCGCTTCCGAGATGAGGACGCAATCCTAGTAGGGTGAAGACAGATGGAATATACGTGGAGCAACAGAGCCACATCGGAAGCAGCCATTCTGTATTCACGACCAGCAGACCGGTGCCAACAGGATTAAACTTGATTGGTGGGAAAACTCAGCAACTTCTTGACAAAAATCTGTAGTGGACAGCACCGATTGGCCCCATTCTGTATTCACGACCAGCAGACCGGTACCAACGGGATTAAACTTGATTGGTGGGAAACTCAGCAACTTCTTGACAAAAATCTGCAGTGGACAGCACCGATTGGCTACTGCTTGGGATGTCAACAATTATCTCCTATCCAAGTCCCTTATGTGGTTCGTGTTTGTTTATACAAGACCAGTTTTTAGGCTGCTAGTAGTGTTTAACCTGGAAAAAATGATTTAGGTCTATGTTTACATGAGGTGGTCAACCTGTGTCTCATCTATACCCCTTCTGGCCACAAATGTGAGATCACACACAGTGATTCACCTTACACTTATCCTTATCTATGCACATAGAAACCAAGCATGTTAGGAAGGTTTCTAGCCTAGTCTTCCTAATGTAGTAGATTTCTTGGTGCAGGGATGGTGATGATGATTAGGGTAGCAAAGATTTCCCGAAGGTGAGCAATCCAAATTGCTCCAGGAAGCAAACTGTGAACCCACAAATAATTTCTCACTGCCTAAGACGGTTTCTCCTGAAACAGTTCATCTGTCTTCACCCTTCAGATATTACGTCTGTCTTCATCCAAAATGACTTACCAATGTGGTGAGGCTTGGAAAAAGACACTCATCGCCGGCGATGGGGTTTTGTTTTTTTTGGTTAAATTTTTGTAAAAGTGGGGGGTTAAAGACATGCGCGCACCGGGGAGAACTGTAAATTCACTCTCCTCCCACCTTTTCAGGCCACAGTTAGCTGGAGCACACAGGGGAGGGGCTTTGTATTCCTGTATCACTACCAGTTTCCTACTAACCTATTTCTGAGAAAGGGGATATCTTGTTTTTTGCATGCACGCCCTTTAAGAAAAATTATAATCCCCCCTGTCACCAATGCATGACCGCAGAGGGCTCAAAAAATTTAAGTTTTCAAAATATTTTTGCCAGCTTCTGGGATCTGGGATTTTCTGGGGTGGGACTTGGGTAGGCAAAAGAGGGCTATTTATTCATTTTTATTTTGGGGGAGGCCAGTGTGGGACCTGTTCTTACTCTCTGAGTAACACTGGAGGTTTACGGTCTTTGCCAGGTGATGGGCTGGGGTTTTCCTTTCGATTTAGAAAGGCGGTAACTTCTCCGGATTCTCTCGTCTAAGGTATAGAGCAGAAGCTAAATCAATGCTCATGGCTGGGCAGAGTGGTTCTTGATCTCTTGAAGTCCTACAGTAGGCTTGGCACCATCTTTTGTTCAAGGCAGATGTATTAGAGAGCTTAAGGTGGATGAGTAAATTCTGCCAGTGAGTTCTGTTGGCTGCATCCCATAATTTCCTTCCTATCATCATCCTCCTTTTGTTCGTCTATACAGTGGTGCCTCACTTAATGACAAAAATCAGTTCCAGGAAAATCGCCATTAAGCAAAAACATCGTAAAGCGAAAATAAAAACCCCATTGAAACACATTCAAACCCGTTCAATGCTTTCCAGTGGGGTAAAAACTCACCGTCCAGTGAAGATCTTCCATACGGCGGCCATTTTCGCTGCCTGTATAGCGAGGAATCCATCCCTAAACACAGCGGGGAGTCATTTTAATCACCCGGCAGCCATTTTGAAACCACCGATTATCTGTTCAAAAAACGTCATTTTGCAAAGGATTGGTTCCCGAAGCAGGGAACCAATCATCGCAAAGCGAAATTCCCCCATCCAGACCATCGTTTTGCGATCGCAATTGCGACTGCAAAAAGATCGTTAAGCGGATTGGTCGTAATGCGGGGCAATCGTAAAGCGAGGCACCACTGTATCTTGATTTCTGTCCTTCTCACTTTCCTTCTCTTCCATTTTCCTTGTTGTCTCCCAGCCTGGCTGGAAGCAGAATTTAGGATGGTACTGAGTTAGATAGTCTTGCCTTTATGGGAGGGTGTCACCCTGTCAACGTGCAGTGGCAAGAATCACAAAGAGACTTGTGAGGCCTTAAAGACGCTCGCGTTTTGTCTGACACCACTTTCTGTGGATTGCAGGCACATCTCATGATGTGAGGTGGAGTACCTGCAGATCTCATCTTGAGAAGGTTCGGGTGGCTGTTGAGTTGGAGGGGAGAGTCTGAATCCGGTCTACTCATCATCCTCCCTTGACTTCACTCAGTTCATTGCTCCTGTGGCAGGGACCTTGGACCGAGATGCTCTTGGACAGTGGTGTCGAACTGTGACCCTCCAGATGTTCTTGGACTTCAACTCCCAGAAGCCTTCACCACCACCTCTGCTGGCCAGGATTTCTGGGAGTTGAAGGCCAAGAACATCTGGAGGGCCACAGTTCGACACCACTGCTCTTGGAGGAGTCGGGCAGCCTTCTTCTTGTTATCGTGAGAGTGACCTTGTTTTTTCCGTACCAACCTCCAAAATGGCCGTCTGTCCCTCCCAGCACCTCCTCCGGCGAAAAAAGAAAACCCAGAATCCCTTGCAGTTGAGGATGAGAAGCCATGACACTTTGGCTGGGTTCAGTCCTGTGAGAGAGGCCGCCTCAAAATCTCCGTGCCCGAAAGAGTCCTGTATAGGAAGGTTTGGGACCTGAAGGACGGTTGCGTGAATGGCAATTCTCCTATCTTTTTGCCATCGAAAAGTTGTGGGATCTTCTTTTTTAAAAAAAACCCTACCGTTCCCATGTCCTCCGTTGTTTCCTTAACTTTTTGTTGATATTTAGAGCAAGCAGTCCCTGAGATATTTTTTAAAAATGCAGGAGGTGTACAGCGGGGGCATGAATACAGACGAGAGACTCGTTCGTTTATCGTTAACTGAAACCGAAAAAAACAAAAGTCGAGATGGGGATAAACTCTGCATGTTTCACAAGACTGGGGTTCGTTCGGGTTTTGTTTTTAGATCTCCTATTTAAAATATTATCGGTATAATTTCAATGTATAAAAATCAACTTTGTGCACTTTTTTTTCTTACTCAACAGTACTGGGTTCTTTTATTGTTATTATTTTTAATGTACTTTTTGTTC